ATAGTTTAATGTTCATAAAATTGAAATGCAATTATAATTTAAAACATTTTGTTTATGAATCATCACTATTTGCATGTCACAATTGCACACCCTTATTTTGTTCAAGCATCGGTTTATTGAACTTACAGTCTTATGTGGATTATCCTACCTTTTATTTATTTTAATCCTTTGCTTTAAACGTTCTTGTTGATTTATTTCTTCTTGTTCACTTTGATTAACAGGTGCCTTTGCGCCCTTAGCAAAGCAGCAGATAGAGGGCCAAGGTTATTGGAATACCTTGTAAACATTTTTTACAAGCATCTGTCGGGTTCTAACTCTTCTAATTCTGATAGTCAGGTATTAGACTGTTACTTGTTTGATTGAGCTAATTTCAAGTTTATCTAAATTGCTACTACTCCCTCTGTCCCATAATATAAGGGATTTTGGGTGGATGTGACACAGGGTATAATGAATCTGGACAGACGGTCTGTCCAAATTCATTGTACCCTGTGTCACATCCACCCCAAATCCCTTATATTATGGGACAAAGGGAGTACCTCTGTTTCATATTATGCTTTGACTTTTTTCCTAGTCAAACTTCTTTAAGTTGGACCAAGTTTATAAAGTTGGTCAAACTTAAAGAAGTTTGACTAAGAAATAGTCAAAGCGACTTATAGTAGGAAATGGAGGGAGTATGTGTAAAGCTTAATGGAGTTTTTTTTTCCTATTCTTTGCATACTATTTATTACTCCATTCTCTAGCTGCACGTCTCAAAATTAAAACCAATGTCACAACTCACAACATAGTAAACAGTCCTGTATGAAGTTTTATTCAAGGAATAGTTTTAGGAATTCAAGGACAGTTTTGCATTTATCCTGTATGAGACGTGGAAACTGTTGTTTCTTTTGCTTCCAATGCTTTGTAGGTTTGTTATTCTGACAATCTCTTCTTTTTTCTGAAACTCAGCTTTTGGGCCGATCATTGTTTTGTCTTGGACTGCTCCTTAGGTATGGTTCTCAACTCATGGCAGCATCCGAAAATCAACTTGATTTCCCAAAGATTATCAGCTTGCTGAAGAAGGAATATCTTCTCAAGGATGATTTCAGCTTGAAGGTTCGAGGTTTGCAGGTGTGCACACTTGGAATCAATTACTGCACTTACTGGCACTAGAAAAACTAGATGGATGGATGGCATGTCCACCTGTCTAGATAACAGAATGTTGCTTTAGTTTCATTTATTTTTCATATTTAGAAACTATTCAGTACTAGATGATATATTTTTCTGTGCATGCAGGCTTTGGGATACATACTTATTGCAAAGCCTGATTTTATGCTACGTAAAGATATCTCAACCCTAATAGAGTCATCATTGTCTTCTGTTGTTGATTATAGATTAAAGGTATACACTCTCTTTTAGTAATATGTAATGGCACATGCTCTGTATAGACTGTTTAAAATGGACCCTCCTGTCCAGATTCAAGGATTGCAGAACCTTTTTGAGTATCTACGTGATGCGGAAAGCCAGCTCAATGCAGAGAGTACTGGCAAGCCTACACCCAATGCAACAAACGGTGGAAGTGAAGTGCCTGTTGCTGCAGGTGCTGGAGATACTAACATATGCGGTGGTATTATCCAATTATATTGGAATTCTATTCTTGAAAGATGCTTGGATATAAATGATCAAGTCCGTCAAACTGCACTAAAGGTGAATTAGACCAATGTGCATACTTTTACAATTGTCCTTTATATTTTACAATATAAACAATAATTGTTTTTTTTTAGATTGTTGAAATTGTTCTCCGCCAGGGTTTGGTTCACCCCATTACTTGTGTTCCACACCTTATAGCACTAGAAACTGACCCACTGGAGGGGAACTCAAAGTTGGCTCATCATCTGCTAATGAATATGAATGAAAAGTATGGTGACCTACCTTCTCATTCTTATGTTCCTTTTGGACATAATCTTCTGATTGTTAGGAGTTGTTTGCAGGTACCCTTCATTTTTTGAAAGCCGGTTAGGTGATGGCCTGCAGATGTCATTTCGATTTTTCGAGTCCACAATCAGCAATCATGATATGGTGGCCACAAACATGAAATCTAATCCAATTGCGTTTGTTAAACCTGGGATATCTCGAATATACCGCCTCATCCGTGCAAACCGGAATTCCAGGAACAAATTTGTACACTCAATAGTCCGTAAATTTGAGGGTGATAACCGCAGTTACCCCACAATTAGCTTTCTCATGTAAGTAGCCAGATTAAATTATGCTTGCCAACTCTCTATTACTGGATAATGTATTTGACTACAAAGTTGCATAACAATTGCAGGTACTGTGCTGAAGTTCTTGCGTCTCTCCCATTCACAAGCCCTGATGAGCCACTTTACTTGATATATGATATAAATCGGGTTATTCAATTAAGAGCTGGAGCAGTTGAGGCAAATTTGAAAAATTGGACTTCCATGTATCAGCAGCAAGAAATGGTGGGTATGCCAAGAGACACTGGTGATGTTATGCATGAGCCTGGGGGATGCTCTGACCAAAATTTGGTTGATGTCTCTCAAATGATGCTTGGCAATACATGCAGCACGCCAGTTGTTAACATGGCCAAACTTCAGGTGAGTTAGAGAGAACTATCGGCGTAGTGGCTAGTGAGAGTTCATCAATGCATAGATCGGTGAGCCTTTTTTTTTTTTCATTTCAGTTTGTTTTTGTTGTCAGGAGGATTGCCATGGCGCGATAGCCCTGCAGCTCCTTCTCAAGCTGAAGAGACATCTGAAAACTGTCTATAGTTTAACCGATGCCCGGTGTCAGGTTTGCCCTGCCAGTCCCATATTTGAACATTGTTAATCCTAAGATGATTTTACTGACACAAGTTCTATTTGAACTTTCAACATTACAGGCATTTTCTTTGAAGGATCCACCAAAATCTGGCGAAACAATCTCCAAGCAGAATATCCCATTGAACATTAGTAATACCAACACCAGTTTGCCGAGCTGCCCGCAGGATGCAGCACGTGTATACCAGGTAGCGATGCTGAAAAATTCTGGATTTGTGGGGAACAAAGTTGTAGTAGCATGTTTTATTGTCTGGGGTTTGGCAGGCGCTGCTGTGTGTGTAACATTTGATGTGAATTTGGACGTGATGGACAGGATTTCAAGACAGTGCTGCGAGAAGACACCGTGGACTACGGGATGTACACCGTTTCGGCCCAGAAAAAACGTCCGACTCCAAGAAGCTCGTCGAGAGTAAGAAGACCGGCGGCTGTTACAAGAGGCCGTGGTGGTGGTGGTGGTGGTGGTGATGAGGACACCGATGACGAAGATTGGACTGGTGGTGGAGCAAGAGTGCTGGACTTCAGCGCTCAGGGTGGGCGAGTAACAAGGCAGAGGGTCCAAGTCTGACTGGCTGCTGACTGACTGTTGTTGGTGCTTCTTGTGTACATTGTAGGAAATTTTATAGGTAACAGGGGAGGTTTAGGTCGTCTTAGGGGCCATTGTTAGTACATAGAAGCAGAAAAAAGGAAAGGAAGATATCTAGCTTTTACTTAGATGCCATTAATTTGGAGCACTCCTTTTCTTTTGCTTGCTGTTGCCCAATTTAGATGTTGTAATTGCTCTCGGGCTCTGGCAATACTCCAACAAACAGGTTGTGCTCCTTTCTAATTCAATGGAAAAGAAATGCTTTCTTTTGCTTCTCACTTGAGTGTTTCCACTGTCTTTATTCTCGACAACACACTGCATTTTTTAAAGTGAAGACAGAAAGTGGTCAAGAAAAAATGAGTGAGTACATTGCTGGCTGGCATAAACAATGAGGCGTGTGTGATTTACGCTTGAATCGTGCTAGCTCCAGCATTTTCTCCTTGCTATTAAAGAAAATTGGGCTGGGACTTGGGTGCCTGGTTTCGTTGGGTTTGACGAGGAAATCACCAAGACGAATTCAAAAATCGAAACAAGACGATGTGTCAATTTTTGATAGAATTAGTAGTTGTTGACTAATCTGATTGATGGCAGATGATGTGTCAATTTTTAGAGCTATAGTAGACTAGTAGTAGACTATTACGAATCATTAAGGCCGAGTTAGTTACAATTTTTTTCTTCAAACTTTCAACTTTTTCATCACATCAAAACTCTCCTACACATATAAATTTCCAACTTTTCTGTCACATCGTTCTAATTTTAACCAAACTTTCAATTTTAACGTGAACTAAACACAGCCTAAACAGCTCTTAGCCTAAGCCAATTATTGGCTATGCCACATACTCCCTTAATTATTGGCTATGCCACACTCCCTCTGTCCCTAAATAGTTGACGCCGTTGATTTTTTTAAAACATGTTTAACCATTCGTCTTATTTTAAAAAATTAAGTAATAATTAATTATTTTCCTATCATTTGATTTATTGTTAAATATATTTTTATGTATACATATAATTTTATATATTTCACAAAAAAATGAATAAAACGAACGGTCAAACATTTGCTAAAAAGTTAACGGCGTCAAATATTTAGGATATACCCCTATGAACATCACGTCGCCTACCACTGAAAGAACAAAGTGCTAAATCCTAAAAAAATTGCTTCCATGTAGAGTTGAACCCAGGATCTAACGTACTACTAAGATTCTTGTAACCACCAGGCTAGTTTTGGTTTGCTTCCAATTTATACCCTTGCTATTACAAATTATATATGTTATATAAATTTAGTAGTGACAAAACTTACCAAGGTTTAAACACTTTCTAAAAATAAAATATTAGTAGGGCAAGAATTGCTAGTAAACCAAACCAGCTCGTAATCAATTCATACATGGCAAGGGTTAAAACGTCTTTTCTCCTTAAATTATTGGGGAAAAATAAATGAAAAACAAATGTAACGGAAGACAGAGTTGTATATAAACTCTGAAACATTTCGATCTCGGAGATCTAAAAATTACGAAATAATAATATTACATATAGTTAGATCGTGATAGATTCTGACGTGTGTAAAGCCGTGCTAAAAAAAATCAATATAGCAGACTCCTCTCTCGGTCTCGGTGCTCCTCAAAAAAAAAAAAAAAAAAAGCAAACCCTAACGCCTGAGAACTGAGGAGCGAACCGGCGGGATGGCGGCGGCGGCGGCGGTGGCGGCGGCTGGGAGGGCAGTCCGGTACGGCGTGTTATCGAAAGCGCTGCCGACACGGCTGCACATCAACAGCGGCCGAGGTCTCGACATCTCCGAGGCTGAGGGCCCTCTCGATAGGTACATCCAGGTGTTGATGGTGCGTACTCCTCTCTACCGCAAACCCGCTACTTTGTATGCATACTTCGTTCTTTACATTCGATCCGGTTTACCTCAAGAGGAAGGGGATTAAAAAAAAATTCTGTTCCAAATTAAGTCTCTGAATAGTCAAGTCAAGGTTCCCGGCTACTCCTGATCTGGCTGGCTTTCAGTTGAGCAAATAGCCTCCTTTCTAATCACCTTAGCTTGTAATCAAATCTTATTCTACCTAGGGCAGCTGCTGCTTAATTTTCTGCTTTTGATCATCCTGTGTGATGAGTAACCAACCAAATGTTAACCAATTAAACTCACTGGAATCGATTGATTGTTCTTTAACTTCCTCAATTCACGTTCTTGTTCTCTTCGACTACGAAGAGTCGGATTTTTTTACTTTTAGCGAACCATTCGACTCCGCTTATTTGCCCTGGATGGCCCTTTAAGAGGGGATAATCTGTTTCGCCAAGATTAATGCAATGATTATAATGTTGTTTTTAGAAAGATTGAGAAATCTATTGAGCTAAAACTCTGCTAGCTTTGTTTGGGGGGAATTGTGAAATACCATAGGTTCCCCAACATACTTGCAGGTTATTATTGTTCTTTCTATTTTCTTAGTTATACCCTGTGATTAGGCCTGGATTGAAATTTACTTCTGTTTTTTTTGGACCTTTTCCTTGAATTCTTGGGATTTTGGGTTTATAATTATCGTACTAATTTTATACATTTACCAAGTAAAGTCTGGGATGGCTCTGTATAGAACTATAGATATGGTTAGCAATATATTAGAAAATAAAGGGGATTTGAAAGATGAGTTGACACCATGCAAGGGCCTATTGATAATTGAAATTTGAAAACTTAACTTGAGTCAACGAGTCGTGGCTTGCATGTGCAAGATAATGGGGTGCTCTTCATGTTAATGTCAAAATGTCACTATTCTAAGTGATTCTTGGGAGATATGTCATTTTAACATATCACATCTAGTTCTCTTTTAGTTCATTGAGCTCAGTCGAAAGAATTGACTTGGTAATTTTCAGTATTTATCCAAAGTTCCCAACATAAGGGTGGAAGTCCAAAATCCAAACCTGCCTTTTTAATGTATGATAGCTTTCTGAATTTATCAGGCGACAAGAAATCTCTGCTGAGTTGATACTCATCATAAACCAAATCGTATTATATCTTTTAGTGGATATGGAAGTTTGAATTAGCCGTGTCAATATGCAAACTCGACTGTTTCAGAAGCTAAGGATGTATTTGGTTCCTTGCATCAATATCATCTTGGCTCAGATCATGCAGTAGCCAGCAGTTTGGTTTCCTGCATAGGCCAATGAGCCTGTCTCTGTGCATGCAAAAAGTTAGCTGGAGCATGGCCTGGAGGGAATGAGTTTTAGTTTCATTACTTACCGGCTTGGTTTGCTTGAGTCAAGAAAAGCTTCCCATGAGCATTGTCCCCTCTAGATACCTTGAAAAATGTGCAGATGCATGAAACCAAAGTACTTCAGTCGGGGGATTGGGCAAACAAACTCAACTAGATAAACAGTTTCAACATGCGCGCTGGACCATTTGAACCAGGTTTAATGGGACCGGCCAGGCCACCCAGCACCCAGGCAACCAAATGCACCGTAAGTATACATGATAGATTTTGTCAGGAAGGGTGCTTATCAGGGGGTCTGACTTTGTCTTGGCTGTGAAGTTCTTCTCTCATTGATTTGGTTGCAAACTTTTGCTAGCATATATGGACTGAGTTTTATACCTGCCTTGCAAATTTAATCTTGACTGCTTGGGATCTGGTTTTATTACAACCCTCATTAATTTTATGCAAGACCATACTATGCATGACCAAGTATGGTCTTGAGTGTTGAAATGATTTGCAATGGATTAGAAAAATCTAGAGACTGAACAGGTGTGCTGTGATTGTGCAAGATCTATCGGAAACAACTGACATGATTGCAATGGGCATTCGGCCATTTGACAACAAATTTCCAATAGAAAAGGGGCAATCTTTCACTTCTATCAAATCCATTTCTTCCCCTTAAGACTAGGGACTATAAAAAGGAACTTGAGTGGAAAGCTTTCAAATGTAACTATAGCTTCATTATAATTGTAAGATAATCACACCATAAATATACTAACTTCATTATAACTTTTATTTACTGTATATAACTTGTATGTGAGTATTAAAAAAATTCATGCAATTTCATACATATGATATATAGAGGTTACAATGTTGTTATATTGTAATTAAACTACAATTATACTATAGTTGTAATGTAGTTCAACTATACTACAGTTATGTTTGAAAGTTTTATACCAAAAATCATGTGACTGTTTTTTAGCAGTTCCCTAAGACTGGTATTTTTCTGAAGCACTATGGATAATATTAGTATATTACATCTGTTGCTTAACTGGGGTATCCATTATCATAAAACAAATCATTATACAGCTTGAGGTATAGAAGTTTTGTATTAACCATGTCAATTTGCAGAATGAAAGAAACCTTGGAAAAGTAAGGAGTATAGAGAAGATTTTGTCAAAAAGAGATATGGTGAGAGAAAGCTCTGAGAGGTACTTGGGATGCGTCATGTATTTTTCCTCACTAATGTACACTCTGCACTCACCCTAATCCCTTCGAATATACTGCAGCCTGATCCTTGAGCGCATGAAGAAGATTGGCACACACAATACGAAACATGCGTGGATGGTTGCTGGCGTCACTATTTCCGGGTACTTGTTTGGGGCCGCATTCGTTGCCCTTCTTACAGAGTCCCAACTGCCAAAGCGTGAAGAGGAGAAAGAGGCTTGAATTCTGCCAAGACAAGAAGCTTGGATTTGAAGAGTGAAAGAAGAGTACAAGGGTTTAGAAGTAATGTAGTACCTTCCATCCATGCTTAAATTGTTGACTCAGACCTCCCTTCAACATTTAACTGAGACCCTTTTCCTTTTTTATATATTTCATGTAACTGCAAAGTATGCTGTGCAAATGCTTACCGGTGTTTCCTTTTCGAATCCCTAATAGTAGAATTACTCTTAATATGGTTGTCTTGTTTTCTGGATGTGGTCATTAACAGTAGCAACAGGAAGCCCGGGTAAATCATGTCGTTCTGCAGAATTTGGTGCATATTGAGAGCCAACACAACAAATAGTCCCCCGTTCCCCCGTTCTATTTAACTTGTATTATCACGCACGTTTATGAGCTCTTAAATGGTACGATTTTCCAAAAGAAAACTGTTTACCAGCATCTACATCTCTTAGAGAACTTAAATTAACTTATCAACTTTCCAATCTTTAATTTAGTCAGTTAAGGCTCTGTTTGAATCTCCTGAAGATAAAAATAAAAATAAAGATTAAATGTTTTACGTAAAAGATAATAACTTATGATTAACTGAGTTTTAATTATTATAAATATGAAAAATAGATTAATCTGATATTTTAGAACAACTTTCATATAAAAAATTTTCGCATAAAACGTACCATTTAGCAGTTTGAAAAGCGTGCCACGAAAATCCAAAACTTAATGTTCACTTTGTTGGGTTCTCGAACAGCGCTTACACCCACAAAATAATAAAGTAAATTTCATCCATAATCCCATCATCCAACAGCGCTTTAAAACAAATTATGCCATAATTATTTGCGAGACAAACAATATTTAGATATTCCAATCATCAAACTTCCAGAATCATCACAACAAACACAATCATCAAACTTCCAAAATCACATTTCCTTCACAGTCATCAAACCTCCTTTGGGTGTTCCTCTAGAAGTAACAGAAGTATCAAACAAACTAGATGCGCAGGTATCAAAAGTGCTCCTCCAGAAGTACCAAAGAGTAAGTACTACAAAATGGGGCTACAAAATCCGGAGTCACTCTCTTTTGCCCTGCTGAGGAGCCCATCCCTGTGACTGCGAACCTCTCACTCGCTCTAGGACATCAATCTTACCGAACACTTTCTCATACGCAGCCACAAGCCGAAGAAAGAAGTATCCAACTGTGGGTATCAGAATGATAACGAGCATGGTGAACTTCCCCTTCTTGTCCTCAGGAAGGCGGTAGCCGATGTTGTCCAACACGCCAGCTATGCCCTTGGGTTTCTCAAGGCTACAATGCAAACAAAAAAAAAAGGTTCAAACGTATAATGAAAACAAATACCACAGAAAAAAGAACAAGGTAAATACCAAAAAGCCATACCTTTTAATTATTGTGCTCATAGACTTGGTAAGCTTGGTTAACATTTCCACATTGCCCTCGCTCAAAGTAATCATGTGCTCAGCCCTAAGTAACAATACAAAGAACATTAGAGTTTAACAGCCTTTCATGAGAAAAAATAACTCTTAAACTTGACCTAATACTAACCAGGTCTGCATGGCTCTAGCAAAAATGCGCTTTTCCAAGTTGGACATCGGCTGCACAACATGAATAATATTCAGAACAATGGTAGGTGAATGGCCGAAGGTTTTCTATTTGCTGATTGCTACCATTCAACAATGTTTTATGTTAGTTTTGACATATATCTGAAAACAGCAGCCTGTATCCACACATTAGATGTCATGGTCGGGATTACGTATCGTCGCAGAGGGCGTGTGGTTCCGCAAGCGTCGCCGGGCGGAACGGCGGAGTAGCGCGCGGAAGCTGCGTGCCGGATGACTACAGTGCGGCGATTGGATGAGTTCAGATTGTTAGTCTGTTTATCAGTTTGTTAGCTTGTTTTTAGCACATTGGTTAATTCGTGTACGCCTATTTAGAGGCACAGTTTCGGTGGAGTTTAATTAAGCAGATTCAATCTCTAGTTCTCTCATCTCCTATTCTCTATTTGCTCATCCCTTGCTGTTCATCACGGGTCGTCGTTCCACCAAACCCCCTCGTCCACCGCCAATCACACATTCATATCACATACGTTCTTACGCCGGGGCTCGTGACAACTTGGTATCAGAGCTCATGGCAACGGACGAATCCTCCACCAACGCAGCCACCGTCGCAGCCGCAGCTGCGGTCGCAGCTCCGGTCTCCAATGCTGACATCGCCAAGCTCCGCGAGTCCATGGCCGACGTACTTCATGGCATGTCGCTCCTCGCATCCAAAAGTGACTTGGCGGATCTCAGCCGCTCAGTTGCCGTCGCCTCATCTCGCCTTACATCGCTGGAGCAGCAGGGTGCTGCATCGACCTCAACTCCGCCGCGACTCGGTGGCGACGGAATGTTCCGGCGACCACCACCACCACCACCACCACCACCATCATCTGGCTCTCCCCCACCACCACCACCACCGCCGCCCCCGCCGCCGCCTCCGCCTCCTCCACCGCTGTTCACGAGACGGTCTCATGCGCCCCAGGACAACAGTTCTGGCACGGGCGTTCCTCGCTTCTATAAACTGGAATTTCCCAAATATGACGGCAAAGACGATCCCCTCAATTGGTTCAATCATTGTGAACAATTCTTCCGAGGACAGAAGACACCGGATGGTGATCGTGTATGGCTGGCCACGTACCATCTCACCGGTGACGCTCAGGAATGGTATTTTCACTACGAGCAGCATCACGGACCCCCAGATTGGTACGCCTTCAAGGAATTGTGCCATGCCCAATTTGGGCCGCCAATCCATCGCAATGCCCTGGGCGAACTGAAGCGGCTATATCAGGCCTCCTCGGTGGCTGCCTACCAGACAAAATTTCTGGCATTGGCAAGCCGGACGACGGAGCCGCTCACTGACTTGCAACAAATCCAGCTTTTGATGACAAATACAAAAATACTTATGTTATGCTTAAAGAACATTTGATGACAAATCAAATCACAATAAAATAAATAATAATTACATAAATTTTTTGAATAAAACGAAAGGTCAAACATTTGTTAAAAAGTCAACAGCGTCATACATTAAAATACGGAGGGAGTATATTCCAGTGCATGGGTTTGCTGAACCAAAGTAGTTGAAAGCTTAGAAAGTGTAGAGAAGCATACTATAAGCATGTTACCATATTTGGGAAACTAGACCCACAAAGAAATTTCATGAACCATGCATCCAAAGAATTCTGACTCATATTCCATCAGCGGGCAAACTTTGACATCCTGAAAGGAAATCAGGAGAAAAAAATTATCCCCATGTGGTATGTGAAGTATATATATTGCATTAGTGCAATTATGTTCTATGTGTATCCTTTCTTGGAGATGCATTTAGTCCAAGTGACAGCACATGGGACCGCCCGAAAAGTCGATTACCCAGATGAAAGAACATTACAAACCCACCAAAAAACAACAGAATAATATAACCACAGTCCTTATGCCAACAATGTGTGGTCAATAAGAATTGAATTAGGTTCTGATATTGCAAAAGAAGTGAATCAATTATGATGAGTCAATGACCCAATTGTGTTTATTCTCAACAACCACCGCAGACTATTTTGGACAAATGAGTAGAAATCTTAACAAAGCAGTTATCTTATTCACTACAGACCAACAAAATGGAGTGATATACAGCAAGAAAGAGGAGGAAGAATGAAATAAACATGCCCACCTTCACATCAGTTGGCTGGAAGTAGATGAAGAGTACTCAATAACAATACGAATTAAGAATCCAATACCAAACAGAGAGATATCAAGCAACATGATAACTATGCCCATCTCAGATTTCTATACCAACCTTTAACTCTCCCATAGCCAAGCACGTAAGTGGATGAAACAGAAAGGCTTACACAGGTAAATTTATCAACTGATGCATGTCACCCTGCTAAATTACAAGGGAACGAACCTGAGTAAGCTAACCTACTAGAATACCAACCACAGGACAATTTGGAGATATTCCACCAAGATAACTTGAAACAACTATTAAGGAACACCCTAAAACAACATCTAAGAAAGAACCGAGGGCATAATCATGTAATAGAACAAGTGGTATCACACAGAAAAAGAGAAGAGAGAATGTAATTGATTTTTTCATGATTTCCTGTTGCTTTAGTGCTTTAGTATAGTATTTCTATGCCCTAGCAACATGCTTCAAGAAATATTGCAAAAGATATAAATGCAAGGACTAGGGAGCAACGTCATAGGTTTAAACAGCAAAATTAATTTATCAAATACTCATTTGAGATCAAGATAGTGCAAACCAGGCCAAAGGCCCAATTTGTGGCAAAGAAACAGAGGGAGTACAGATTAGTAAAGCAGTAGAGGCATCAACAGGATATCCTATTCACAATTAAGACCTATAAAATTACAAAGTAATAGAAAAAGGGGAGTATCCAGAGTGCTTTCGTTGTTGGCCTATGCCCTATGAAGGTACAGAACACCAGGTTCATTACAACTGATACCAAAACCTAAATAATTTAGGGAGTGGGGAAGGACCATGAGAACTTTGTATTAAAGGTACCAACAGTAAAACACATAGATTAACATAAACATAGCTAAAATATGAAAAGGTCTGGAATATAAGAAAAAATGAACAACTTGCATGGGGGCATATGTGGGCTGCATAAATTACAAACTTTGGTGCAGCATCTGCGGTTTAAACAAAGAAAATGATGCTACACCTACATAGATAAGATCAGGTTTGACGATTAACGAACGAAAATCTAGATCAACCTCATCTACTTTCGTTCATTCATGGATGTCTACAAAGATAACGATCAATCATTCTCTGCATATTTAAGATATGGTTCCACTTCACCATGCTAAAATGTTAGCATCAGGCCTCACAGATGGATTGTAAATGTTCCATCCCATACATATATATATATATATATATATATATATATATATATATATATATATATATATATATATATATATATGTGTGTGTGTGTGTGTGTGTGTGTGTGTGTGTGTGTGTGTGTGTGTGTGTGTGTGTGTGTGTGTGTGTGTGTGTGTGTGTGTGTGGGTGAGGGTATATGAGGCAGTTCTGAAGGCGAGTTTCTAACTGGGATTGGATTGGATTGGATTGTCAATGTAGCATCTCAGGAGTGTCCATGAATGATTTTGGCCTAAATCAACAGTTGAAACTTGAGGGTTTAATTGGCTATTTCTCCCACATCAATCAAATGGACAAGGCAGACACAAATATATAATGATACTTTGATGTGAAGCCCCAATAAGAGCTCAAGTACAGGCAGCAAACATGTTTTTCGCAGGCCCGCTGCACATTCCAAAAAACAAAAGTAAGCAAAATAAAGGAATACCACACTGCAAAATGTCGTTTGGCCAATGGGCCAAACAAACTTACATATCGCCAACTAGACAGGACAGAAGAAAATATACAGTTGAATATGAATAGTACTGCACAATTTGAAAGGAAATGTTTTCAGCACAAGCACAATGGAGGTTCTAATTTTTGCCAGACTTAATATTAATTGCACCCTAGATGGTACTTTGGAAAATGAAGTGATGTTAAGTCAGAAAATTATAATGTTAAGAAAAATCATGTGATCTCCATCAAACGAAAATGCACCAGAAACAATGGCATACAAGAGAATATAGACCCACTATCTTACAGGACGGCAACATTCAAACATACCCAAAGTCTAGGCTGTCTTTACTCTGAACACGTGAGTCTAGAATGCAGAAGTCTAGGCTGTCTTACAGGACGCCAATATTCTAACCTAGATTAGCCCTCTTCTATACTATCTATTGGCTAAACAGCCTAGACCTCAGTTCAGAGCAAAGCGTGAATTCTGCTTCTATCAAACCACTACAGCTTTGTGGGAGCGGGTGCAGAACACACCAATCATCCCTAACTTCTCTTTTTGAGGAGTATAAATATAAAGAATGGTTATCTCAAATTCCATAACATCTAATAAGGAACAAACAGAATGGAAAAAAAAATACGGTGTCAACACAGAGGCTGCTAAAAAGGAATTCATTACAGAGCTCAATCTGCATTAGGATGATATTGGGAAAGGAGACATTGCCCAATCATCATAATACTCATAGTAAAAAGTCTACTTAACCCCAGAAGTATTATGATTCGTTCCCTTTTAACCCCCTATTAAAATATAAAACGGATTATTCAACCCACTAAAGTATGAAAACCAGTTCAAACAACTCCCTAGTGGTTTGGCCATGTGGACTACGACAAGTGATAGTGACATAGTGATGGATTCGATTTAAAAATTAATTAAGTTCAGTTATACAGCTTGGAAAAGAAGAACGTTAATGTAAATAGGTATTCCCAGGCTCACTGATAAGTGAACAAAGGGAGCGATTGGGCCAGCTTGAGTAAAATTAGCTAACATGGGAGCCGCATAAGCAATACCACCCGCCATGGTTGAGTAGACTTTCTCTTCTATAGTATAATATAATATAATTCAATGGCTCACCCAGGACATATCAAAGCAACCATCAGAGCTAAAAGTGAGTTGACATTATGTGTCTTGTCATTCTTCATAAAGTATTTTATACAAGTGTAAAAAAAAAGGAGGGCTTGTATCATTTTTTTCGCATGGGCACTTGTATCATGTTTCTAGTTCAATGTCTATTCAGATGTATAGGAACTTGAATAGAAAGCTAAGAAAACTGTGCAAAAAAAAATCACATGTATCCTCGGGGGAAACTTCAAAGAGGAATTTTAGAATTAAGATAATTTGTTCACAACCGTGTGCAACTGATTGGTGTGCACCATATAGTGCTCATGCATAGGTTGATTTCCCCTCTGTAGGGTACAGAGAGAATAAAGTTATAGCACAAGTTACTCCCTCCGCATTTTATAGCGTGTATTTTGTGTCACAAGTAAAATGATTTGACCAACAGTTACTCTATTAATATTTTAATAATTATGAGCCACAAAATTATAACCAGAAGATATCTAATAAGATCAATTTTGTGTCACAAAATTATGTATTAGTAGAGAAGCTATTGGTCAAAGTCCTGTACTGACAAAAAGTTAAATATGTCCTATAACAAAAAGAAAAGAATGGAGTTAGGATTTACAATTTCCTACTATTAGAGAAGAAGTGCTAGTGCTATTAATACAAGCCAGCAACGAGTAGCGTTTTCTTATATTAATGGAATTTAACAAATAGGTAGTAGCATTTCTCTATTGATGGGAAAAAGAAATAAATAAACCTAGTGCTTAATTTACACTTTACAACGATCATATTATCTTGTGGTAAGAAAGAAGTGGGGAAAAAGAAGAAGAAGAGTAGAGTCCGACCACTGCGGTGTGTTGGATGATCAGGGCTATAGCTGTAGCGCGTTTCTCGTTAAAAGCATGTACTACTAGTATCACAAATTACAGGCCCGGTAGATCCTACTACTAGGAGTTAATAGTTCCTAGAGGTGCGAGGTGTGTCCTAGATAGATATCCGATCGAACATCCAATAATCATCCATGTCAGCAGGAACTCTCAACCTATGAAATGAAGGGGAAAAAAAAGAAACAGAAGAGGGAAAATATATATATGGTCACTGGATGCTGCTACTTTTATACACCAGAAGAAAGAAAAGGAGGGTGAATATGTATACCAGACATAAGGAGGAGGAGTTGGTTCTCCTAGCGAGCGTTGACGGACTGGCATGAGTCATCTAGTTATCTGCGCCACAAAAGGCTGCAGCAGCCAGCGAAAAGGAATTGCCTCTGCTGCTGCTCCTGAATCGCGTGAAATCATGGGGGTCGCCCGCTCGTCTCGTCCGTCTCATCGCTCCCCCTCCTGTACTGACAGACACGACGAGATTCCTCTCCTCTCCTCTGCTCCCCTTCTCTTCCTTCCATCATCGATCCGCCGCAGGGAGGAGGGATCAGGCGACGACCACCAAAAACCCACACCGATCCGATGAGAGAGAGAGAGAGAGTTGGGAGGCCAGATCCGATCTCCCCATTAGTAACTTATCCCTGGAAAGAAGAAGAGAGGGAGGGGCACGCGAAATTCCATCCCTGCCCCTCTCCCTTATCTGACTCACTCCTTCCCTTCGCTCGCTATTCACGGACTCATCGTACGCTCGGCTGGAGTACTTTATTAGGGCTGGCTGTGTTTTCCCAACTAATCTCTTTTTTTTCCATCATCACGTTTTTTATAAACTTCTAAACGGTATTTTCTTTCATAAAATTTATATATATAAATTATTTAGAAAATTAATATTGATCTATTTTTTAAATAAAATATAGCTAATACCTAATTAATTAAATGCTAATTGATAGCTTTGTTTTACATGCACTGTAAATTTAATTTCGGAACCGCAATGAACAAACACAGCCTAGTTGAGGCTGCCTTCGCAAATCTATCGATTTATTAGATATATAATTACGTTGACAATATTTACATAAATTAATTCGTTTATATTTTTTTTATGAAATTTAAAATTTTTAATGTTAACTCACTGTTATTTAACATACATCCTTTCAAATATATCTTACATCTAATATCTATAGCTCTGTCAAACATAATTTTTATTTTTATTGAATTCCGATGAGACCCCTTGGTGCCAAATTTAAAGCCCCATAGTTATTGATTGTTTTGTGCATTCTTATCCTTATATAAGTGGAAATTCAAACTTTTAAAACATGATTTTATGAATTTTTTTTCTCATCATAGTTTATTTTATAATATTGTCTTTTTATCACTAACAACACGAATATATAAAAGGAGGCAATTTTGCATCTAACCCTATTTTGCACACCACCTACCAATTTGACCCCTTCTATGAACTTCGTTCGTTTGATCCTTGTTTTAATAATAACTAAAGATATAGTTTGGACTTATTATGTTAAGGTAATTTGACACTATTTTCTCAAATCTTTTAAATTAGTTTGACCTAAAGATTATTTTTTGTCAAAAATTTCGGTTTGACAGATGTTTGACAAATTTAATATAGACTAGAAAAAATACCCGTGCGTTGCAACGGGTAAAGACGTTATTTCTATAATATATTAAGAGCTGAGCAATAAATTGAAATATTGTATCGCTATACATTATAATTGAAAAGGTTAATGAAAATTCTAATATTGGGATCGCTATATATTATAATTAAAAAGGTTAATAAAAATCTTTCTTGGGTTTTGAGCCGAAAGCCTTCATTACTTTTCAGCCCAAGGCCAGTCCGCTACCTCCCTTTATTTGGCCTGCTTGCTTCAACCCAGCCACGAGTGAAGCCGTTTTCAGCCCTAGGCCGGTCCGCTACCTCCCTCCGTTTGGCTTGCTTCCTTCGACCCATCAAATCCGGCTGAATCTTTCTCGATCACCCAAAAATGGTTAAGGGTTTTTGATCCACTTACCTCTTTTCGTTTTACCCAAAATCAAAGCGTAAAACTCGAGATAAAAACAATGGGGGAAGATCGTCGTCATCATCGGCAACAGTTAGATTAAATCCGCAAAATAAAGCTAGGAAAATCATGGAGAAAATAATGAGGAAGGAGTGGGAATCGATTTTTTTTTCAATCAAATTGGAGTGAAAACGCACAATCGATATGGCGCCGGCACAGCGCAAGGGTTCAACTCGGTAGACGTGCCGCAAATAGATTGGATAAAAAACAGACGAGAAAAACCAAAAGCGCACGGGATAAAAAAACAGGTGACAAAAAAACCAGAAGTGCTCGGGAGACACGCGGTGAACAAATCGGATTTAAAAAACCGGAAAAAAAACCGATAGCACGTGCATAGAAAAAACTCTTTCTCGTGAAAAAAAAGCAAACGGACTTTTTTTTTGTTTTTCACTGGCGAGACTTTTCTTTTCCTTTTTTACTGTAGTCGGACGATTTTTTTTTCTTTTTTTACTGGTGACGACATAAGCTTTTTTTTTCTTTGTTGAGTCGGAATTTTTTTTACCTTTTGAGTCGGACTTTTTTTTTCTTTTTTACCTACTATATGGAAATTTCTTATTATTTTTAAGTGGAGATAGAGATACAGAGATTAAACCAAAACATAAAATTAAAACCGATTGAAACACGGATGACGTATCAAATACCGGCAAAAACATCTTCAATTTTTATAATAGTAGAGATAGAGATTTGACAAAAGTGTGAGTAAACTATAACAAATTCTTTTGACAGCATCCACCAAAAAATGCATATATCGAATCAAAAAGCATACGTACATATATATTTTAGATCAAAAGGCTATCGCCCAGCTTTACTGAAAGCATAAGAAGTCTGTGTACAGAAATAAGGCTGGGGATTCCAGCTTACATATCAAGTTCTTAGCCAACGACACCGGCAACAAAGCTGCTGACTCAGCACAAACATACCATACAAAAAGCAAAAGAATTACCATAGGATGACACATAGGATAAAAGAGTTTTGAAGGCACTCTCTTCACAGTGCAAGCACCACTAGTGGGACCCACAAATATCTTCACCAAATCCCCAACTGCTTCTCCTCCCTCCTCACTCATCACGCCACCAAATCCCCAAATCCGGCGTCAGCTCAACCCTCCTCCATCGCCCATTCCCCCGCCGCCTCCGCCCCTGCCGCTGGCTATCCCCTCCTCCCTTCGCCGGCTCCTCTTCTCCCTCCGCCGGCGTCGGCCGGCTCTCATCTTCTCCGGGCCGAGCGGTGGCGTCGTCCTCCGGGCCGAGCGGCGGCGGCGACGTCCTCCGGGCCGAGCGGCGGCGGCGCTATCCTCCGGACCGTGCAGCGGCGTCGTCCTCAAGGCTGAGCTGCGGCAGCGTCCTCGAAGAAGCGGCGGAGCGACCTGGCCAAGGCGGTGGAGCTCGGCATCAACGGGCTCGACTCGCGTGGCAGCGGAGCTCGGCGTCGACCTGTCCAAGGCGACGGCCGGGAGAAGGAGGAGGTGGGGGAGTAGATCTGGCCGGCGGCTCGTTCTCGGCGTTCTCTCCTTGGCGGCCGCGGAGCCCGCTCTCTCCTCGGCGCGCTCGTCCTCGGCGTTCTTGGCGGCGGCTCAAGAACGGGCGGCGCGGTTGTCCTCGGCGTTCTAGGCGGCGGCTCAAGAACGGGCGGCGCGGTCGACGGTGCCGCCTCGCCTCGCCGTCGGCCGAGCGCGCACCGGCGAGCCTTTCCCCTCCCTCTCTGTCCGCCGCCCCACCCCTCTCCCTCCCCTATTCCATCCTGCCGCCGCTGCCGCATCCATCCAGCCGCCGCCGCCATTTTTGTTTCATGGGAGCCGGCGCCACAGTGCAAGGGAGAGGGCACGGGGCGGCGAAGGCACGCTGCCCACAGTGCGCATGCCTCGCGATTTCAGCGTCGCCCTTGACGAAGTTTCACGTCGCTATGTTTGGTCACGAGTTTCTCTGTTTGGTCCCGGGTCTTAGCGCCACGTCGACGAAAATCCTACATAGCACAACAAGGTTCTGCTTCACGTCCTCGCACTGTGAAGGGCCTAAGAGCTACCAAGGCTTTTACTAGTTACTGCCCTCTATCCGGCAGATCAGCTGCTTCTTCCTACTTCTTGGATGCTGGCATGCAGTGAGACCCTCAAAGCCTCCAGCTCTCCCCTCAGCTTCAATGGAACCAGGTTTTTCCACTGTAAGAAAAATGACAATGCTTTATAAGGCACATACGTACATATATATAGTACAAGCTTACCAAGTAAATTATAATGTTCGCATCTATTTTTTATGTATCTTTAACGATGATACAACAGTGATATTAAACATACGTAATGGCCACGCTACTACTGTCTAACAGCATAACGTCATGTCAGCCTTCACACATAAGCACACGCATACATACGTCCAACAAGCAAGTACCAGCGAGCATTCTCCCAAAAGTTTTTCTTCTTAGAGGTGGGGTAATTGTCACGCCCAGAAATTCCCGAATAGAATTCCAAACAGAATGTGCATTAAAATCCCCGTCCAGGACCGGCCGGGGTACACAAGCGACAAAGTTGACATATAGATCCACGTCTTACAAACATTATAAAAGTCTTACATAAATGCAGCGGAAAACTTAAAGGATAACTGGAGCTAAGCCTTGACTTGGACTGCAGCGGGAACACCACTCCACAGGCATCCTCGACAGCACGGACGAAGCCTACTCCTCGGAGAAACCATCATCTGACGCATACTCAAATTCTGGGGTTTGGGGAAAATAGAGCAAGACTGCGTACTACCCACTGTACTCAGTAAGTCATACCGGAATAGGGGTATGATGCAGGAAATTATCAAGGGATAGCTATAATGGTTCATTTGCATAAAGCGGACGATTATAAACAGAAGTTGAAAGCAGTAAAATAGTTGTAATAATTAATCAATATTAATCATCCACTGTCCAACGCTATACCACGTTGTAACAGGCCCAACCATCCACCTATACTAGTCAATTCCATTAGACTGGTCTAGGGTGAGTATAATCACGGTGAATCTAGTTGACCGCCCATAACCGCGGGCACGGCTATTCGAATAGTTTTACTCTAATCAGAGGTGTACAACTGTACCCACAAGACACAGCCCCACGACACGTTTCCGTGCGCCGACATGCCACCACGACATACCGGAAAGAGGCCGTGACAGGACCCTTCGCATAACCCCCTCTAACCAAGCACACCACACCTCAGGTTTCACCCCCACTCCTCGCAAGGCAGCGGGCAATCCCCTCTCGTGCCTAGGTGAATCCGGAAGCCGCATAGGCCGTCGCAGGGTCCATCCAAACTCCATCACGCCCACCCTTACCTGGATGCGTCGGCTAGAGGAAAGCTATATTACAAGCCCAGCCGTTGCCCACGCTGGCTTGTGGAAAGTACGAGGAATTCTTCCAGTGTTTCCCACGAACCGTTCCTTAATTGCCATGGGTGCGACCATCAAAACCATGCACCCACGGCCCACCATTTAATATTAATTAATTAACCAACACCGGAGCGGTGAGCATTAACCAACAACAATCCTAGAATTTGATATCTATGCATTAATGTAGTTCCCCATTGTGTGCTAGTTGAACTAAGCAAAGCTAAGCATTCCCTAGTCCAATCTCTAGTCATGTTATATCCCAAGCTAACAAAGGAACATGTTACCAGATAGCATGGCTATGACAGTAGGTAAACATCCCATAGTGATATTGTAAAACAATGTAGTATTTGAAGGAAAACAATGGAGCATTTGCAATATAGGATCAACATGTTCAAGTGACAAGCATGACTTGCCTTGCTCTGCAGCTGGAGGAATTTCGGCGACAATTTCAAGGTACACCGGAGCGTCGGGAGAGCCGGAATCTAAGCGACAAACAAAGCAAACAATACAAACATGCTATAAGACTACTGAAACAGAGAACAAAATCATTTTTAATGGATTCTACACATTTTCCTTGATTTACTGAGACTTGAATGGGCTTAAACGGAGCTCGGATGAATCAGTTATGAATTTTAGAAGATTCACTGTGTTTTTACTATAAACGGAAAAATCCTTAATTGATTTATTGCGCAATAAATAAATCCCGGGGAGAGAGAGAGGGCGGCGCCGACATGCGGGCCCCACATGGCAGTGACTCGAGAGGGCGGTCCACGGCGGACCGGGTCCACGGACCGGGGAAAACCGGCGTACCACGTGGTGCACACGTGGCACCGACGCGGCGTACACGCGGCGGCAACGCGGCGGCCGAACCGACGGCCCCGGTAGATCGGACGGCGGGGGTGGCTCGCGGCCGGCGCGCGCGGGCACGGCTCAAGCCGGCCCGGCGGCCATGGCGCGCGGTGGCGCGGCGCGCATGTGGCGGCGGCGCGAGATGGCGACCGGCGGCGGAGAGAGGCGGCGTCGCGGCGGCTAAGCGGCAACGCGGTGGCTAGCGGCGCGGGAGAGAGAGAGGGAGGGGGAAGGGGAGGCCTCACCGACGGCGACCGACGACGGGGAGCAATGGAGGGCGGCGGCGACGGCAGGACGATCTCCGGAACCACCTAGCGAACACCGTGGAAGGGGTTAGTGAGGGAGAGGGAATTGGAAGAGGGTGAGGACACCGGCCGAAGGCGGCGGCCATGGCGGTGCTCACCGGCGAACGGCACGGAGTAGGTTCCGGCGGCGGACGGGGTGGCCCGTACGATGGCGAATGCGGCGGCGTCGTCGGCGCGGATCTGCGCGGCGGCTAGCGGCGACCGGAGCGGTGGCGGCGGCGGCGAAGAGGAGGGCGACGGCGCTAGGGCGTTAGAGGGCACGGGAGGGCTCGGCGAGATGGGGAAAAAGAGAGAGGGGTGGCGGTGACGCTTAAATAGAGGAGGGGAAGCTCGGACGTGGTCGGTAGAGGCGGGAATCGCCGGCCGACGCGGGGGAGTGGGGGAGGAGAGAGAGGCGGGATTCGAATTTCGAATCCCGGCCATCTCGGGCGCGGGCGCGGGCGAGAGGGAGGGGGAGTGGGTGCGGGGGATGCGGCGCATGCGCGGGCGTGGCCGACGTGGCCCGGAGGAGGCGGGAAACGTGGGCGCGGCGGTGGTTGCGGGGCGCGGCGGCGCCGGCTAGAGGAAGGGGACGGGCCCGACAGGTGGGCCCCACCTGTCGGCGACCCCGGGAGAGAGAGGAGGGAGGCGGCTGGCTCGGCTAGGCCTCGGCCTGTCGGCCGGCCCAGCGGGAAGGGGGGGGGAAAGGAGAATGGGCCGGCGGCCCAATTGAAGGAAAAAGAGAAAAGAAAAAGGAAAAAGAAGGAAAATAGATTTTCCTGGGATTAAATATTGCTTGTGCTCAATTTTAATTGGTTAAAATTATTTCTAGAGCTCTGAAAATTCCACTAAAAATCTTGTTAGAATATTTCGACATGTAGAACTCAAGAAAAATTCCACATGCTAAATCCGATTATTATTTGCATTAATTTATTAGGGTTTTCTCTTGCTTTTACACCGATATTTTCTCTGGTGGATTATAAATTCAATTTAGGCTTGGGAAAGAACTTCAGGGTGTGACAGTAATCCTGGTTAGAGGCGGGGCTTGCCCGGGTTTAAGTTTGCTTGAGACCGGCTCACCATTCTTCATGTCGATGTAATTAAAACTTTATTTCCCCCAATTTTAATGAAATTGACCGGTCAATCTTTGGCCGTCCCGACAAAAAAAAAAGAAATTATTTTGTTAAATCCTCATTCCCTTTTACTCCTGAAGCAGACTATGCCGGCCTGCTGTTAATCTCATCACTCTCTCCATCAGCTGCATTTTCTATAATCCTTCTCAGACAATCTATTTCCGACTGTTGTAGCTTGTGATAATCTTTTATAAAAAGAGAAGAGGAAAAAGAAGAAGAAGAAAATTGACCTGCTCGGGTTGCATATCCTCTTCTTTTTTCTTGAGATGGTTGGGTTAATGAAAGTGTAACTGGTGCAGGTATATAACATGTTTGCGTGGTGCTGCTGAAATTCGTTTGCGTTTGCATGGTAGAACACACCTTTACCCTTCAAATTTCAAGTAAAGTTGTGCGAACCTTGATTGACCCTTGTGTGCTGTACAGTCATGTTGTTAGTACTGGTATGGTATCTTTGTTTTCAGTTCATATATCTTCGTTGTTTTCTACGAAATTTCAATAAAGTTTGTGTGAAAATTCTCTATGCTACATACAGGTTCTTGCATTCACATATTCCAGATTTTGCTCTCTAAGGCCTCGTCTGAGATAGCTGAAATTGATAGGTTGATGGATAATGTGATTTTTGTGATAGCCATTTGACTTTTAAAGTAGTACTAGTAGCTTGGAAAACATACAAACAAGAAATCAAGGTTGTGTTAGTTCACACTAAAATTGAAAGTTTGGTTGAAATTGGAACGATATGATGAAAAAGTTGGAAGTTTATGTGTGTAGGAAAGTTTTGATGTGATAAAAAAGTGGAAGTTTGAAGAAAAAGTTTGGAACTAAACAATGCCTTAGTTCACACCAAAATTGGAAGTTTAGTTAAAATCGGAATGATGTGATGAAAAGTTGAAAGTTAATGTTGTAGAAAAACTTCGATGTGATGGAAAAGTTGAAAGTTTGAATAATTATTTTGGACCAAAACACGGTCCAAATAAGAGAAGATAATCCCTCCGGAGCGTCGAAGAGTCTAATCTCCTGATGGTGTACGGCGGCTACGGCCTGGAAACCAGAACACAAGCACGACTGGAAAACTTTCGACTTCGGGGTAACGTGGCTCATCTGGAAATTAAGAATGCAATGCTCAAATCTTAGACGGAAGAGCAGAGCAATTTATGACGGTGTTTACATGCAGGTGTGTAAAATTTTGACGTGTCATATCGAGTATTATATAGGATGTTGCATAGGGTATTTGGACACTAATAAAAAAATAATTACATAATCCGTCAGTAAACCATGAGACAAATTTATTAAGCCTAATTAATCTGTCATTAGCAAATATTTAATGTAGCACCACCAGGGTTTCAAAAACCGCCGGGGGCCCGGTTACCGTCACCCGGCGGTACGGCGGTTACCGGCGGTAACCGCGGTAACCGCGCAAAACCGCGACAAATTTACAAATCGAAATTTGAATTCAAAAATTCGGGCAAACCGCGCGGTTTGGCGCGGTTACCGCGCGGTTTGACGCGGTAACCACGCGGTTTGGCGCGGTTACCGCGCGATGTGTAATGGGTTGCACAGTAACGGGCCGGCCCATTTTTTTTTTCTTTTTCCAATTTTCAAATTTATTCTCCGTTTTGCTCTCAAATTTGAATAAATATTACTCTTTTTTGAGAAATTTCTTCACCATAAAACACTATAAATCAAGCACTACCTTCACTATTTTTTTTGATTTTTTTCTTTTTTTTTTAAATTTTTGAATTTGGACGAATTTTATTAAACCGTACCGCGCGGTACGGGTAACCGTACCCCCGCGGTACGGGCGGTAACCGCGGTAACCGCGCGGTTACCGGCGGTTTTTCACACCTGAGCACCACATTGTCAAATCATGAAGCGATTAAGCTTAAAAGATTCATCTCGCAAATTAGTTGCAATCTGTACCATAATTATTTTTTAGCCTATATTTAATATTTCATGCAGATATTTAAACGTTTGATGTGACATGGTAAAAAATTGTAAGGTGGGATGTAAACAGGCCCAGTGCAGGAGTGGAAAACTTGGAAGGCTGCGGGGTTAGCAAGCAACCCTACGATTAGTAGCGGTTTTGGTGTGTGGCAAACCAGTGGCCTGGTTCGGTGTGAGAGCCTTGGCTCTGCTTGTACTACAATACAATTTTTTGAACCCTCTCCTTTTCAATATATACTTCGGCCGGCTACGCCGGTCCGGCGAAATATTTATCAACATTGGCCGTGTTTATATCCAAACTTTCAACTTTTTTCATCACATCAATCTGTCATATACACACAATTTTTCAGTCACATCGTACCAATTTCAACCCAAACTTTTAACTTTGGAAGAAACTAAACACAGCCACCGTGAAACTTGCATAGCACAATGCTTTCCCATAGAAAAGATTCGGTTCTATCTCTCTTACTTTTTTTCCCTGTTATTTAAGTTTCACTGCTAAGCAATATGCATATTTCACTGATGTCTTAGTTGATTTCAGCTGTTTGTAATTTGCAATTGGATATAAGGTTAATTGCTCTACTATTTTGTATTACGAAAACTTGAGGAAGGCTTGCATATATTTTCAGTTCCGGTTCCATCTCGAATAGATACTTTATCGAATGCCTAGCATTAACATTTGTGGCGTTGAGATGTTATAACTTAACACTAAAATTCCGGTTTGTATTTACATAAATTTTTTGACATTGTTTATTGTTCAAGTAAGTTTTTCATAAGAGTCAAATTGTCAAAATTTCGGTCGTTTGAGACGCTGCCCATACTCCGCATTCTCCTTCCCTGAAGAATTGCAGATACACAAGGCTCCCATTTTACCTTTTCTTTTTTTTTAAAAAAATAACAAGAACCACGCATAAAAATTTAGGAACCGCAACTGGTTAAAAGATCAGTGCACTGCACATTTATAAACAGCAAACAATGAGAAGATTAACAAAATCAGCGGCGCATGAATAGCCCATAGAACGAGCGCTCTGACCAGTACGAAAACGTGGAGGGGGAAAAAACGAAGCCATTAAATTAAACAGAACCAAGATCGCGCATGACCACTACTGATAACATAACAAAATGTAGTAGAAGACGAGCACCATACATCCCCTCAGTGTCACATGCATATACTGAGAACACAATTCAAATATATGTTAATATGTTACACACCACGGTTAGGACAAAAGGATATTAAGTGCAATGGCTGTTATGTCAGCAATAACAAGTCATCACAAACACACGATGAGAGCTGATAACAGGAGAACAAGTGCTTCCTTTCCCGAATCGTTTGCATGCATACTTACGCACTCCCATCTATTTTAGCACTCAAAGTCCCAACTGCACTGGACGCAATAAATATCGCTGCAACATTACCGCCCCACATTAGCTTATCTCGAAACTCCCCATTGGGCACCCCCCAAGAAGTTAACAGCCTGTGTATATGCATGCACATATATGAAGCTGAATCCAGGGTGAAAAAAAAAAGAATAACAAACTTGAACTTGTAAGCTACCACATACCTGTTGAGATAATTTCTATCTTCGCTCTTCAGTTTCCTCACTTCCTCCACATCTTCAACAATCTCCCTTTGTGCCATCGCCTCAAATTCATCAAATCGCCTGATACTTTTGACCTGATTATCATTCATTACCTTGAACATCAATTGTGACAAGATTGATCAAGAAACGAGTCCTATTGTTAGAGAGAGAAGAATTCATAGACTTCAATATCAATAGTTTTCAGGATGTCTTCCCAATGTTAAGAGAATAAAATGAACATTTGCATACTGCAGGGTAAGGTTAGAAGTTAGAACCAGAGCGGGCCAGTGCTGTGCAGTGGTTTGCAATTTAGTGAGTTGAGTAATCATTACTAATGCAAGCTATATTTTTCTGTTAGTAACTCTTCAAAATGATTGTATTCTCTGCATATGCTTTCTTTTTTTACAAATATAATCTAACATGAATCACACACACCCACATTTCTTTAACTATATGCAATTATTTTTTTAGGCATACAAATTTGAGACTGGTGCATACATGGGTTATTTGCATTCTTAACATGTACTGCAGAAGATTGACATTTCCTAACTTCAATCTATGTTGGCAACTTGGCATCAACAAGGAAGCAAAAATCACATCGTTCCTAGAACATATCCTCTCTAAGCTTTGAATGGAAGCCTATCTAGCACTCCAAACATATCCTCTCGAATTTGCAATATCTTTGATATAACATCCTAAAGTGGATTTTGCAAGGTGGTTTTACCCATGCAATATATGTGGAACATACACACCAAACTCTCTCCTATGTATCAATCTCTCTCTCTCTTTCACCAACAAACCAAGCACTGGAACAATGCCAACATACCATCACAGTTGGTCAAAATAAAGAGTGAGGATTGATGAAGTATCAAAGTATCGTTGTAGTTTGCCAAAACTGCCTGTTTAAGCTTCCCATAGGCAAAACCACCATGGAAAATCACATTCTATGGGGTTATATGGGTTAAACTGTAAACTTTTTCCGTGTGCACATTTTTTTTGGGTGTGTACGTGTTCTGGGGGGTGGAGTGGGGGATCTGAAGCTGGTGTTGAAGTTCCAGTTGGTGGATTGGACTTCTGTTCAAAGTTTAGGAGGTGGACCATTTATTCTAACCAAACAGCATTATATTCATGTGGCCATCTTTTTCTCCCTTTTCTGTTGAGAAAGATACTCCCTTTTATTTAATAAGTAATAACACAAGGTTGAACTACATAGAAAGATTCTCCCTTTTATTTAATAAGTAATAACACAAGGTTGAACTACATAAATACAAGAAAAAATCACATGGGAGTCAGAGCATCATTTTAAGAACTAGTATAACCTACCAGCGATAGAAAATACAAAGCACATTTATCTTGCTGAAGTGGCCAAAACATCATTTACTGATAGCCCACCTAACAAAGACACGATACCCATAGGTAGCGGTGTACGATACCTAGGTACCATGCTGAGTCAGCAACATAAACTGCACGATTCAACACTATGGCGCTTTATAGTCTTTATGTAACAAAATAATGCCTTTGCTAGTACATTTGACAGTCTTTGATAATGTACATCCCTGACTTGTTACCCGAGTAAAAACTAATGTGTGATTGTGATAGAACCAGGACAAAATATACGAAAACAAAATTAGAACGAGAAAGCTTGTAAGTTGTAACATATACCAACGTAACTTGTATCATACATATGCGGAACGATAAAAAGAAAAGTAAATTTTGCTGTATATATGTTCTAGATCATAATTATTATGTCTGGTAGGATAGGATTTAGATGGTAAGTAAATTTACCTGTATTATATTATATGACTGGATTGTTATCATTTCACAGAAACAGCGCTCCAAGTAGGAAACATAAATAAGTGATTACAATAGCGAGGTCAGTGACCTTGAGTTCGCTCAGGCTCCCTCACCTAAGGGGATTGTGGTGCGGAATTGATCCGCTCCAATCCTGTCCCTTCCTCATAGGGATTAGATGAACAAGTAACAGGGAGAGAGATGGATGGATTTAGATTGGCGTGCGTCTCTTAACCGCACGAATGCGCCATCCTCCCTCCCTCAAAGTATTTGTATGCAGATAGATTTTTTTAATAACTTTTGATTTGTAACTGTTGTATAATTGTGTAAGAAACGAAGGGGGCAAAAAAAAAAAAGGGGGGGGGAACGGGAGGAGGATGGAAACGGATTAGGTGGTACCTCTCCCGGGGAGGAAGATGAGGAGGATAATCTGCTGCTGCAGAAAGAGCGGGTGCGGTGGGGGAGAAGCCTCTGCAGGGCGCGGCGGAGCAACAAAGGCGGCGACATCGCGGGCACCGTGTTCTGACTCTGAGCTAGGGTTTCCTCTTCCTCCCTCTCGATTCGATTCGATGCGAGTTGTAGAGGCTTAGGCTGCTGGAATAAAATAAAAAGAAAATCAGAAGATGATGGGCCGGGCCTACCCAGACAGAGTTAAAGCCCAAATCCATCGCCACCTCTTGTCTCTCAAGAGAAACGGCTCCAAGTTCTTTTCCTTTTTCTACTTACTATTATTATTATATAATATATATAAATAATCCTCACCTACCCGACAATCTCTCTCCCACCCCACCCCTTTCTCGTTTCGTTGGAAGAAGAAGAAGAAGAAGAAGAAGGTGGTTTCGCTGGAAGAAGAAGAAGGTGAAACCCTAGATCTGATCTCGGATGACGGCGCGATCGTTGTTGGCCGGTAGGATGGTGGCGGCGGCTCGCCGCGCCTTCCGCAGCTGGCCCCTCCACACAATCACAACCACCACCACCACCGACGCCGCCACTGCCATCGCCACCAAGGAACAGCACAAGGTATGCAGGAGCCTTGATTGACCACCTGCCTATCTTTGTTCATGTTGGGTTGATTGATCCGCATCCATATCCGCTCGCGCGAGCCCTTCTTTTGATTTCGATTCTGTATCTCGTAATTTGGTCGATGCGTAGGTGGTCAGTCGTCTTGATGTGATGGAGGATATAAGCTTTCCCTACATGACACGCGAGATGGCCGCCGTACTGCGGCGGAGCCGTGTTGCGGCTGTCGAACACAACAATTTTAACATCAGGCAGCTTGCTAATCCTTACCATGGGTATGTTGGCTTCTTTCCTCTCTCTCTCTCTCTCTCTCTCTCTTATATATATAACTGGAGTATCTCGGACGCAACAGCACAATCAGTTTATGCATATTGATCTAACCTGTCTCAATTTGCATTGTTCGTAGGCCGGCTGATGGAGATATCCTGTATGACAGGGCATGGATTAACAATCTTGCTCTGCTTTTTACTCTCTCCACGTTATTTGGGGCGTTTAGTACTCTAGCCAAGCTAAAGCAGACACGGACAGTGGACCAATGTGTCCAGACCCAAACTAGTTAAAGCAACCACTGAGGTTGTATGGATTCCAGTCCCAAACTTGTTAAATCAACCGCTGACGTTGTATTGGATATCATACTCTGTATGTCGTAATACTTAATTTCATATGCTATTGTCATAACTTGAGAATTACTTCCTATATGTTAGCTTTATATGTTTCTGGATGTTCTGTTGTGTCTGCCCCCAAAATACAACTTGCTCAGTTAAGATTTCTCATGCTACTTTTTGATGATTTGTTCACCATGTCGTTAACATGGCAGCAGTATTAGGTTTAGGCACATCTTTCTTTTGTTATTACTTATTGCACTGGAATATCATCAAGCTAGAATGTGGACTACCTACTAGCATAGCAAGTTACAGTAGTGTATTATAGTAATGATATTGAGCTTGGATTTGGCATATGTTGTGCCTACACGACTCTTTTACATGAATCAGAGTAGAGTGTGTGGCTTCGAAAGCTGCCTCCTTTGGTCCATCATGCCTGCTCCCGTAACTTGCTTTAAAAATGCATAGGAAGTTATAACCTACTACTGGGAGTAGCTACTCCCACCCTAGTAGATGTTCTCCTCACTTTCTAATTGATATTCTGCTATATAACTAGTTGATTTTCTGCTCCATTTCTAGTTGAATAATTTTCTGCACATTTTCAGTTGGTAGATTGCTCGTTTCATGTCATATATATACTGCTTTTTTTCTGCCCTATATTCTGCTCCTTGTCAAGATGATTTACCGATCCTCTTCAAGTGAATGTATATTCCGCTCATTTTCATGTTCATATTCTGTTTCTTTCCAACTGATTATTTTCTGCTCCCAACGAACATGAAACCATGCCGAGGATAATCATCATCTGATCTCTTTTAACAAATCCCATAATGGGTTTTGGGAATAGCGTGGCTCCAAGCAAAGGAATTAAGAGACGCAGAATCAGCTGTAGCAAGTCCAACTAGCATATGGAAGTCCTCGTGGACAGATAGGCAGTAACGCAGTACAAACATTTTGTGCCTTATCTTTGTGTTTAACTGATCCATCTGGCTAACGAACTTCTTTGTACAGGAATCTGCTATGTATTCTTAGCTGCGTGCAGCAAAATTATCTAGCAAAATGCAATCAATAGCACAACAACAGGGCAATGAATAAAACTCCCTACTCACCTGAGTACCTCACAATGTCTAAGTGTCCCTTTAAAAGGCACTAGCAATCGTGCACATGCAATGCACATTTTCAGCCATATACATACATACATACATACATACATATATATATATATATATATATATATATATATATATATCATAAGATATAAATAATCACATTAAAAAATATAATTTTTATCGAGCAACTTTATGATGCTTTAAAAAATGCATAGGAAGTTAAATCAATGTGCTTCATCAACAGGTGATCTAGTAACGATGCACAGATACCAGTTAAATAGCATGTCCTTTATTTTAAGATAGCTAAACATGTACTTTCTCTTTCTCCGTTTCACAATGTAAGTTATTCTAGCATTTTTCATATTTATATTAATATTAATGAATCTAAATAGAAATATATGTCTAGATTCATTAACATCAATATGAATGTGAGAAATGCTAGAATGACTTACATTATGAAACGGAGGGAGTACCAAAATTTTGCAAATCAACATAATCTAAGGAGGCTACACTATAAAGAAGCTTGTAATCATGCTAAAGAAAAGAGAGTCAATATTGATAATTTGTTTTGTTAGAATGTATTATCAAATTTATATTGAACCTTACATATGAATAAACATATCTCTGAACTTCTATAAATTACACATGTTTATTTACATGGTGAATCATTATAATCTAATACAACCACAACAAAATTCCTAAATGAATTTCATGGTTATCCACTTTCGATACCATTTGAAGATCTGGCTTTACATTCAGACTACCTTTACCCGATTACTTGCATATTTTGAATTCGAGCTCTCCATTGATATTTTACCTTGACTAAATCCGTTGGTTGGTTTTGATGAAAAAAATGATTCCAACTTGCATATGCAGCTGTAACAGTTAATCTTCAAAGTTCACAACGAAAATATGTGTAATATTGAAAGCACCTTATAGGAAGGAAACATGTATAGAATGAATCAAATTCTAAAGTAATTAAACAGGTGCAATCTTTTAACAGTGTAATGCCCATATTTTTTATTGAGAGGGATGGACCAGTGAACCATCATCTCTGCTAGTAGAAAGTAAATTCCATGCATAATTCTCAAAGAATCAGATTAAAAACATTTAGTAGCATTATCTGAAAGCTAAAGAATAATTTCTTTTAGTGCAACAAATGATTATCTCTACATTACATTTTAATCAAATTTGGAAAAATATAGGTACCTGAACAAGTGTAAGCCTAGAATTTGGAAAACTATCATCAGCTTTATGAAATTTATTCCTTCGTTTTTGTTGCATAGAGGATGGTGGATGGTTGGGTCAGCACCTGAAAGGAGGAGCATAGTACTACCATTCACCTAAATCAAGACCAAATTTCAAAAGTTTGTCCAACTTATTTGGTAGTGCCACATGTTTTTTTTGTGGGTACTGTTGGTACAAAATCCAACTAGCGTAATCAATGTGTATTCTGTATTCGATCGGCTCGAGATGAGCGAAGTTTACATATTTAGAGCAAGTTCAATAGTATAGCCAACTATTAGCTCCAATTCATCTATAGTCAATCTAATAGCTCATTCATACAATAATTACATACTATACTATTAATACGCGGTCCCACCTGCCATACACACATTGCGTCTTGGAGTCCGTGCTATAGCTGGTTACAAATCTGTAGCCCGCTTCTCTTCTCTCTCCTTATTTATCTTATTAAAATATGTTTGTAGCTGGCTTATAGCATGCTATTGTACCTGCTCTTATACAAAGGCCATTGAAAGGGGAAGTTACAGTGCTATCGAGATGAACTGAGTGACTGCCATGCAGGCCAGCTCTTGGGTCTCTTCGTCATTTCCCTGGGGAATAAGTTCATCTAAGGTTCCTTAACTTTACACTGAATCCGATTTTCGTTCTTGAACCCCAAAACCAGATACAACTTGTCCCTTAACTGTCAAAACCGGTGCAAACAAGGTCCCTCGGTGGTTTGGAAGGCGGTTTTGGCTAATGTGGCGCTTACGTGGCTGGCTTGACTAGGTCTTCGTCCCACGTGGCATTGACGTGGCGCTTACGTGGCAATTCTATCCCAGAAAAATAATAAAAACTGTGGGCCCACATGTCAATTACACAAAAAATAATAATTTTAAAATGGTGGGGCCCACGTGGGCCCCACATGTCAGCCTCACTCCTCCCTTCATCCCTCTCTCTTCTCTCTTTGTTCTTCCTCATCCTCACTCCCCTCTCTCTCTTCTTCTTCCCGGGGAGTGCCGGAGCGGACGGGGCGGGTGGGCGGTGGAGCAGGCGAGCGAGGCGGGCTGTCCGAGCTCCGGCGGTGGGCAACGGCGCCAGCGACGGGAGCCTCGACCGGGGGAGAGGAGGCGCCGCGGTAGCTGGAGCCGGGGTGGTCGGCGCGGCGGCGGGTGAGGTGGTGGTAGGCGCGGCGGCGGAGAGAAGCTGCTGCTGCATCTCCAGCATGATGCAGACTCTGCTTTCCGGATTGCTTGCTATTGGAAGAATTGAGGAGTCGATCGACTACTATTGGAAGAGTTGAGCTAGATAACTTATCACTGACAGTTAAGCTATAGCTATTTTTTTTCTCCATATCTGAATTTTCTTTTGTTGACAAAACCATTGCTATGCGGCCAATTCATAGATCATCAGGCACACGTTCAATTCACAACAAGTACTTTTCTTTGCGAATCCACAATCCCCGCTACGACCGGCTGCCTCGCCATGCCAGTATATGCCTTGGCGACCCCTTCCCGGGCTGGTCGGGAGACCGGCAGCGTGGTGGTCGGCGCCGCCGCGGGGTCTTGCGCCGGCCACATCCCCGCCCTCAGTACCGCTGCCACCGCTGTCGAACTCCATATCCTTCTCGAGTATGACGGCGATGGCGCCGGAGTGGTCATCCTCGTCGTCGGAGCCCGCGGTCGAGCGCTCCGACTCCTGCGGCTACTGGTCCAGCTGTCGCGTGAGCAGCCACGGTCACCACCACGAGGCCGCGGAAGACGACGACCCGTCGGAGAGGGAAGGCGGCAGCGAGGGCGCCGCCTCGCCGAGGTCGCCGGCTGCAGTCAGTGTCCGAAGAAGAGAGAGGATAATGGAAAGAAGAGGATGACATATGGGGCCCATATAGGTCCCACCATTTTTTTATTTTGTATGTGAAACTGATATGTAGGTCTCATGGTTTTTATTATTTTTTCGGATCGAATTGACACGTAAGCGCTACGTCGGTGCCACGTCAGTTGAAGACAGAGTCAAATTAGCCACGTAGGCGCTACATCAGCCAAAACCGCCATGTAAACCACTAAGGGATCTCATATGTACTGGTTTTGATAGTTGAGGGACCCGTTGTATCTGGTTTTGCGGTTCAAGCATGAAAATCGAATTCATTAACCAGTTAAGGGACCACGGATGAACTTGTTCCTTTCCCTGGTGACAAGGTTGGGCTATGCCCACCAAGGAAACTGGGCCGGCGCTGAGGAAATTTAATTTTAACTTTTCTAGGGGAAAAGAAAAAAAAAGTGAAGCAGATGGTTTTCTCAACAGAAAAAATACCAATAGAAAAACAAGATGGATGGTTTCTAGATAGAGACAAAGAAAAAAAAAGAAAAAGGGAAAGATCGACTGTGTATAGATGGAAACAAAAGAAATAAAAAGAGAGGCACGAGAGAAATTGAAGAGAGGCATGAGAGAAACTGGGAAGGAAAAAATAGAGGAGATCAGGAGGCACTGGAGAGAATTTGGGAAGAAAAGAAAAGGTAAAGAAATAAAAGGGGAGAACGGGAGGTGCTGATTTTTCACGGGAGAAGGAGGAGATTGGGAGGAACTGATTTTTTCCAGGGGAGTGGAGATTGGGAGAGCACTAATTTTTTTTCTTCAAGAGGAAGGGAGTTGCGCGCGTGAGGAGGGGCCGAGGGGGAGGAGAGGAGTTGCGCCGTGCGTTGGGGGAAGGGGCGGACAGGAGCGCGGGGCCAGCATGGAAGGGCGCACGCGCGGGAGAGGATAAGGGCACCCACAATGGTTATCTATAAGCTCTTTACAAGAGATCTATGTCAGCATATTTTTCTATTTGGAAGGTATTAAACGAATAGAGAGAGCAAAGCTATCTACTAACTTAGAGATAGTCTATAGAGAAAAACGAGGCAATGCATGAGAGAGCTATAGATAACAATGTAGACATACTATTAAGGTGGTTTACTATTAATCGAGTCAGGTGAATGGGAGGGGGAGGGTTTGGGCTTGTTAGTTGCTAAAACACCTATGATAGGTATGGCCTCAATAAATGCATGTTTAAAAAAATAAAATTGACTGCATTAAAAGACCAAAAGGGCATGAAAGACACCATGTATATAACTTTCTAGTTTATTGTTGTATACAACGTGCTTAATTATATTCATTCTATGACTAATTTCATGTTAATACACTGTCAAGAACATCGGTTTAAAAAAAACTAGTCCTATTTCTAACAAAACAATTTGAAGAACAAACAGAAGCTCCTAGCGTACTGTGCTTCCAACTGGTGCTTCTTCTGCTTACGACCATCTTCTCCACATGATACCGCGGCGACATATGTACGGTCGTTGGATCACTAAGATGATGAACCAGCAACTTATCCCTTCCTATCTTTAGATCTTGACTAAGAAAAGAAAGGAAGCTGTCACGCTACTTAATCTGCAAAACGAATTGGTACCCGTCAGAATATAAGAATGAATTGAAATAAATTACACACGAATCACGCTGGCAACCGCCGGTGACGGCACCGGTGAACCTCGCGACGATAAGTGGCGGCGACGATGAACCTCATGGACGACCGGCGGTGGCGATGACAAACCTCATAGCAACCAACAGCGTGTAACGTCGTGGCAACGAAGCTAGCGGATGACCGGCGACGGCGACGAAACCTTGCAGACAACCGGTATAGCAGCCGTGGCGACCAACCTCGCGGACGACCGGCGGCGTCACGGCATGGCGACCAAGCTCGCAGTAGCAGTAGCACAGCATCATCCACCATCCATTTTGCTTTAGAATTCGTGCTATCAAAAAACTGAGTATTAAACGAATTAGCGTCCTATTCCTATCCCTATTCCCTAATCCGATCTGCGTCCGGCCATCGTCTTCTTCTTCTTACTGTGGGAGTGCAGGCCTATTCTTGTTGGGCCCTCAACAGAACTCGGCCCAGCAACTAAAAATTCTCACAGCCTCTTTTTTTTTCTTCTTTTCTGGCTCGAAAAATCTTTTTATTTTTCTTTTCGTTTCTCGAAGTTAAGAATAGGACGCAGTTCTTCTCTCGGCTCTCGCTCTCGTCGGGAGAAATTTGGACCGGCAATTCTGTTCCCAAAAAAAAAAAATCGTACAATTCCGCAGCCTAACCCTAGTCGACGCGAACCTCCAGCCGCCGGAAGATGCTGCGACCAGCGGCGGCGGCGGCGGGCAGGGCCATCCGGCGAGCCGCGTACCACTCCGACGGCGCCCCTCCTCCCCGCAAGCTCCGGGGCCCCCGATTCAGCCCTCTCAACAGGCACAACCACGAGGTACCTCAGATCTATAGCCTTGTTCGTGCACCCATCTAGAGTTTACCCACCCAAATTTAGTGTAGAAAGAGAGAGTTTTTCATGTCTTGTTCAAAGTACGAATTAGTCCCAAATCCTCCTGGCTCAGAAACCCAGTCCCTCCTTGTGTCATCTGTTTATCATTGCACTTGTTTCCTCCTGCTATCTTCAAAAATATCACTACCTTTTTCCTGTGCCCCCAACCTTACACACACACAAAAACAACAACTAGGGATTCAAGTATTTAGTTACTGCCTCAATATTCATGTGCAACTTTCCAAAGTATTCGGTTCGCCTTCTTCTGGGATTACTCTATACGGTTGTTATGTTGCAATCAAAAGCACACTCCTCTTGGGTAAGAGATGGCACTACTGTCAAATTCCATTATGCCATAGATTGTCCATGCTTATTTATGATGAATGAATTTGTACAATTGAGTTATATAATTTCATAAGGTTTCAGGCGTTGTGATGTTTTTAAGGTGTGTGTTAAGCATCTGTCACTTAATTTGCACTAGAATTCTGACTCTTGCTGTTACCACAGATTAAAAGCTTGTCTTTTGTTCAAGCCTCCATCTCTAATTTATTTATCTCTATAACTTAAATACCTTATCTTAGAGGTTCAATTAAGAACGCTCTCACAAGAAAAGGAAAAGCTTTCTTGCGCACAGTGCACTTGTGCCAAATGATGCATTTAAAGCCTTCATCTTTTGTTCCTCCTTCCTATGTTGTTCAAAGTTAGTTTGGTGAAACCCTCGTGGCTCAGAAAACAATCCCTGTGTTGTTCACAGTTACACCTGTTTTTCCTACAAACTTGGGAAATCTTTTTTCACCTTTTCCTTTTTTTCTTTTTACAAAAATATACTTGTCCTCCCATATTGTCAGGGTTTAACTACTACCAATTCCCAAATATTCGGTTCAAGTGCCAACATCAAACTTCACTCAGTTTTAAATTCGGTATTTCTGATGCTGCTGCAATGTTATAACTAATAATATGCCAATTGAAGCTCACCCCCCTTGATGAAAATAAGGCACTGTCAAGAAAGAACGGAGCTTGCTTTCCTTCTATTATGGCCCTCTGAATGCATGTTCCCTAGATTATATATCATTGTGTACACTTACTTATGATAAATGAGTTTGTAGGGTCGTGTTTCCCTAAGATTTTGGCTGTGCTCACTGTGAAGTTGTAAGAAATCCAGTAGTTCTTGTGTGCTTATGTAGTAGCATCTGAACATCTTACTCTAAATTTTTCAATTTTAAGTTGTTCTTCTACAGTTATACAAATATTGTTAGCTTGTTTATTGCGCAAGCATTCATATACAATGTTTTTCCTTGTCATAGTGGTTGAATTAAGAATCTTTAACATCTTAAAGAAAGGCTATGTCGGGCGCAGCACACTTGTTTAAAAATGATAGATTTTAATCCTTCATCTTTAGTCCTCGTTTGGAAGTGATGAAATGTGGATGGAATCAAAATGGATGGTCTACTTGATTAACACGGTGAATTAATATCTTGAGAAATTAACTTAACAAATAGCTAGAAACAAGTGTTCTAAACAATACAGTAGAAGAAAGTTATTTTCAGAAATCGTATTTTCGGAAGTGTGGAGCAAATAAATCGATCCAGGGTAGATTACAGTTGATCATCACTTCAGAAAGGGGCCTTAGTTTTATGGATGACTTAATTATCACTGTGCGGGTACAGTGATATTGAACGTGCTAAATTTTATGGAGAACTGCAGTTAAATATAATTCTTTTGTATAAATCTGATAGCAGATGTAGATGTCTAATATTACGCACGTTGATGTGCAGGTTGATGCGTTGCTCGAGGAAATCAAGAATACGCCGGTTAGCATGATTTCCGATGACTTAATTATCAGAACTGTGCGGCAGTACGTAAACCTCTGAATTGCAGCTTCTGTTATTATTTGTTGTGTGTCTTGTTAACCATCCTAAATTGATAATTACTATTACCTGTCCTTGTCTGCTTCTCTAGTTCTATTTTGGCTCGTCAGCAGATTCTTGTTCAAAATGTTCTCCGATCATGGGTTATTGCTGCAGCAGTTCTCTCAGGCTATTGCTGGGGGTACAACAGAGTGGCCAAACGTCCTGTGGCTGGCTCTGAACCACCAACAGAAGATGAGGTGTAGAGGACTTGACAGTGTTTTCTTTTGGAGATGGGAGTCTAGAAGTCTGGGAGAATCAAGAACGTAGTGAACTAAGCATGTGTCATAATCTATCCTGTGTATCAGTGACTCTGTGTTAACTATAACTAATTAGTCCTAGAGCTAATTGGTGTGGGGATTCTGTAATGAGAGATCTCGTTCGGTTTGACCTGTACATGTTTCTCTGGTTGCGGATTCTGTTGCCGAAACTGATATGTGTAATGGGAGATCTCTTTGGGTTGATCTCTGCTTTATTTTGTTGAGCAAATTTGCAAGAAGATAACGGTTTTTGCCCTTTTTTGAATATCTTTTGCCTCCTCACGAAAACTGACACGTGCTAGGCTAGTTTGTAAAAAACTCCTCGTTATATACATAATCTTACATCGACCCTCTCAACACCTGATGTCTAAGCTGTTTTTTTTTTAATATAATTGTGAAGTGAAAAATCTGCTTTCAGGGTAGCACTGTAGACATAAAGAGTATAGGGGTGTTTCTGAAAACAATCTTCCCTTGTTCCACCTATCCCCACTCCGCTAGCCAATCAGGAGGCATATTCATCAGCCCTCGGTCGATCGTGCAAGGTGGGCCGTGGGCTGAAGGCGGAGTCGTGGACGCGGAGACAGAAACGGCGTCGCTTCAGCTGCAATTTTTAGTTCCCCCCTTCTTTTTTTTGGAAAAAGTACACCGAAGGTCCCTCAACTTGTCATCGAGTCACAGAATCCTCCCCCAACCGTAAAACCAGATATCCGGGGTCAAAACTGGTCACAATAGGTCCTTCGATGGTTTTGACCAGGTTTTGTCGTACGTGGTGGCTGAGTCAGCGTGGGATCTACATGGACCCCACATGTTAGGGTGCCACGTCAGCACACACTCTCTCTCTTTCCCCTCCTCTCTCTCTCTCCCCCTCCTTCTCACTCTTCTCTGCCTTTGACTGTAGGCCGGCCAGTGGGGTGAGGCGGGAGAGGAGGTCGGCGCCGTGGCGGCTGCTGGCGTCGGCGGGGGCTGCGATGGGGGAGAATGGAGGGCGTCGGCGTCGGCGGCGGCAGCGACATGGGAGAAGGGGAGGGCGTCGCCGCACGGGTGAGGTCGAGGACATAGACCCGGCCGGCGGCTCGGTGGAGCTCCTCGGCGGCCGAAGATGGGCCTGGGGAGGCAGTAGTGACGCGGGAACAACGCGGGCGTGCAGCGGTCATGCGCGTGCGTCGTTGGCGCGTGCGTCCCCGACGGAGCGAGCGAGCCGCCACTATCTCCCCTACCAGCCACCCACCCGAGGACGAGCTCCCGCAGGTTGGGGTAGGCTGCGGCGGGGAGCTCCCATGCGCCAGTTGCTTAGGCTATGGACGTCCAGGAATTGGACTGCGTCGTCGACGTCCTTGCCATCGCCGCCACCGCCGTTGTAGAGGCACCGCCCTAGAAGGGCGCCGCCTTGGGTGGCCGTCGCTGCTTGGTATGCGTCATTGAAGTAGTTGGACCACCTGAACTCGTCCAGCACTCCGGCGTTGTGGTCCATCGTCGCGACGGGGTTGGCATGTCCTAGGTTGGTGGTGGCGACGTTGGCGCGCTGCTGACTGCTCGGCGTCAGTCGCGGCGGGGCTGAGGTCGTCCATGGAGGTGAGCGTGCTGGAGCTAGACCACCGGTGGAGGAGGATCTCCCAAGGAGGCGGTGGTGCATGCCGTCCGCTGCCTCCGACGACGCCACACTTGGCCGCCACCTGGCGTGCCGCCTCGTGCAGGTGGGCATTAGCGACGTCTTCGCCGTGCCCGGGGACTTGAACCTCACGCTTCTCGACCACCTCATCGCTGAGCCCGGCCTCCGCGTCGTCGACTGCTGCAACGAGCTCAACACCGGCTATGCCGCTAACGGCTACGCGTGGGCCCGTGGCATGGGCACCTGCACCGTCACCTTCACCGTCTGCGGCCTGCTGCTGCACGGCCGCCGTCACCGCAGCCATTGGTTCTGGAATCAGGAGACGGGCGACGAAGCAGGCGCCGCCTTCAGGAATCAGGAGCGTGCCAGCGCATCTCCGTCGTTGCCGTCGGCGGTAGCTCGTCGGAGTGGCTCCGTCGTCGTCGGCGGTGGTTGAAGCGTGTGGCTCCATCATCGGAGACGACAGCCTCCTAGGACCGGCACAGTTGAAGCGTGTGGGCGTGGCTCCGTCCGGCACCGTCCTCGTCCTCTCCCTTGCGCAAGTGAATTGGGCAGTCGTCGAGCTCGAGGCCGCGTTTGCTGTGAGCCACCGCCGCGCTCCTTCCCCGCCGGGCTTGTCGTGCCCACTGCACCGGCGACGCACTCCGTTTCTCCCGCGTCGTTGCCATCGAGCGACGGCTCGCTCGCTCCGTCGGACAAGAGGAGAAAAGTGAGAGAGAGATGAGGGAGGGAGAGAATGGGGGAGAGAGAGAGAGGGGGAGGGTGATGACATGGCATCCTGACATGTGCGGCCCACGTGGGACCTACTCTGACTCAACCGCTACATCGGACAAAACCGGAGTAAAAACCACCAAAGGACATCAAGTGAACGGTTTTGTAAGTTGAGGGATGTCATATATCTGGTTTTGTGGTTGGAGGACGATTTTGTAATTCGATGACAAGTTGAGGGACCATCGGTGCATTTTTCCTTTTTTTTTTTGCCAATATCTATTTTAACTGGGCTTTGGGCCAGAAATTTTTTGGGTGGTCAGGGGACCACCCTTTGGATCCGCTGGTGATGCTGAGGAACATGTGAATTGACTGTCAGGGGTTAACTCATCATCTGAGTCTCATCCCAGAGTTGTAAAACCTGGGACAGTCGTTAAGTATCATCTTTGACCGTTAATTCCTGCATAAAGGAATGCAAAATATAATATCAAATTAAGTGGTAGGGTTTACTAACCGTTTCCTCTAGTTTTGGTAAGTATTTATACGCAAGTGATTTTTTGGATGAATTTACACCCGTCATGCAAAGAAATATACCTATATGGGACTAAACCACAATGCACCGTCTTAGGGGCCCACATGTCATCCCCTAGAGGAAGGCAGTGGAGAGTGGTGGGGCTCACAGGCCCCACCTCCACCTTCCACAATGATAGTTGTGGGTACACCGACCTCCACAACCGCCATTCCAACCGTCATATGGTTATATAAAAGGATGAGCTCCAGCCGTTGCACAACACACAACAACAAAAACAAAACTCACTTTCATATTTTAGGCATCACTTTATTAGTGTGGAAAAAATAGATAGAGAGTGAGGGGAAGGTCTGGAGGAATGCCGGAGTTGTCGGTGCTCTCTCCTCACTTGTACCTCGGTGGATGCTTCATTTAATAAAGTAAGTGTTTGAGATTTCTTATGGTATTTAATTAGCATACTTAAGTGAGATATATTCTCACCATTGCAGATTCGACACTTAGTATTTATATTAAGAGCTTGTTTGGTTCTTTACCCTACTAATTCATTGGCAGTGCTAAAGTCTAGGCAAACTTTGGCACTACCAAAATATTGGTAAGATAAAATTATTTAGTTAACATTTGAATTGCTGCCAATAAAAAGCCAAATTCTTATAGTATAGTAAAGAAACTTCTAGAATATAACCAAATAGAATAGGGGCGCTACCAAATATTTGGTCTCAATTCAAACTAACACACAAACTATTCAATTTGCCAATAAACTAGCATCTTAAGTCGTGTGTTCACACGGTTATGACCTCTCCATCTATTAAAATATTGTTTGTGTTAATGGACATAATGTTTAATAATAATTAATAATAAATATGTTTTTAACATTTTTTTTAAGAAGTGTAGCTATAACATTAATGGATTTATATATCTTGATTTGTCATTAAGAATATCATCGTAACAACAAATAATTTATCATATATTAGCGCAACCATTACCTCCTACAATATCTAAAAGAGTCAATTGTAGTAATAATGTAAATAGCCACATTTCTTACGCGTTGCAATTCTTTCATCACCAGTTGAAAAACTGCATATGCACCAGCCTTCAAGATCAATTGACACAAAATAGGGGATGCAAACTCAAAGCTTTTTCATCTAAACGAAATGGCAGGAGACACCACAATCACATTCAAATGTTGCAAACCTCAATCAGTTTAGTTTTGTCCCATGAAGAGAAAGGGCAAGAAGTTCAGAGACCTGTTCCCTCCATAAAAAAAAAAAACCCCACATCTGGGTTTGAATCTAGACATAGGTCGGCTATGTTAAGAATTAAATCCAGAAGTGTTTTTTTATGGAGAGAGTAATTGCTTTATCATGCACCAAGCTTTTCCTTTTCAAGATCCTACAGGAGATATGTGTGTGTATTTGTATTAAATTGAAAGAAAGAAACAGAGAAACTAAGTCCCAATGTAAAGTTGAGAAGCCAAAGATTACAAATATGTAGTCCTTAAAATTCCAACCAACCAACGAACTATCATTTGTCCCAGACCATAGTGGGAAACCTCCTCTAAACTTTTCCACCAAAAAGAAAGTTGAAGTTTATGTATTCACTTTATACCCAGTTTGGCCAATCCAACAGAATCATATGATAAATAGGGATTGTTGACAGCTGAGAGGCCAACAGTCTGGAGAAAATCTTTGGGAAACTATGCAGAAAGCTTATATGCTTTATAACCCATCACCTCAATTATTTTTTTTTAGACAACAGGTAATTGCATTACCCACCTTGGAAACCAAGCCCAGAGACAATCCATCACCTCAACTGCATTCCTGTTTCTAGACAACATACAAAACAGGCCACCATACATACAAAGATGAATGAATATTGGTACAATAAACTGACGGGGCATTTGCGTTTTTACCCTATTTTAAGGTCTAACTACCAAATTGACCTTGCTTTCTTCAGTTTGCTATTTTGACCCTCTTTTTTTAAAACGAACGTTAGGTCTGGCCCTATTCCGTTAAGGCAACATAATGGTGTTAATTCAGAGAGAAATGACTTTTATGCCCTCACTCATTTGACTCTATTTTTTCAAAGTTTTTTGCTTGCCTAATTTTGTGTATTTTTATCTGAAAATGTGACATTATTTTTACTAAGATAAGTGACAAATCTAACTTAGGTTTGAGGGATTTGACAAGTTTGAAACAGATTTAAATTTTTTCAGACAAAATTCACTTAGATTTGATATATTTTCGACAAACTTAACATACATTTGACAGATTTTTGATAAATTTCACAAAAAATACATAATCCCTCTACACCAGCAGCATGCAGTCCTCCAGACCAGGAGAGCACCGGCTCCGTCTCCCTCCAGCCGGGCAAGAACAAGGAGAGGCGAGAGAAAG